AATGATGTGAAGTTTATATGAAATAATTCATATATGAACTGCGGTTGTAGATGAAAGTGAAGAATGATCATCGCAGTTAATTTTCATCTACAACCGCAGTTCATATATGAATTATTTCATATAAACTTCACATCAAGTAATTAACTTACAATAATAAAAACAACTATGATAATAATGCACGACGGAAAAGGTGAGTGTTTAGCGTGGTTTTAAAAATGCTAACAGTGCTGGTGCTTCTTATGTCAAATGGTAGCGCATTGATCTTCCAAAGTTTCGGTGCAGCACAGGTAAAAAAACGGTCACCTAGTGTAGCTTTTGATTTAAAACGCGGATAACTATGTAAAAGTTTATCGCTAGAATTCCTTAGATTATATTTGGATGGGAGCCTAAGAGAAATAAGAGACGATAAATAAGTGGGCGCTAAAAAATAAACCCTCAAAACAAAATATGCACTGCGATCTTGTTTTATTCCTTTGAGGTTCACTGTCAATAATTTAAAATATAGCTACAAGATCGACTGGGCTAATTTTATCTAAAATGATGGCAGCATCCACAGACTAAACCATTTATCCTTAGTGGATGCATCTATACATTAAATTCTGTTATTTGCAAATTTCTTTTCACAATGGGTTTAGTTACCGCAAAGTTGATAATAAGCCCTAGGCTTTACTTATTCACCAAAAACTCTTTGTCGGGGATTATTTTCGCTTGGGCTTTTTATCGGGTAGCGGGGATGACGATAGCCTGCAGAGCAGGCGGATTAGCGGGGAAAAGCGCCAAACGCGTTACACGAGGGCGAACATGAGCGCGAAACTGGAATTGAAAACATTGCTTATGCTCTTCCAACCGTTTGCTTGCCGATTCGGATATTTTTCGTCTCGCGCTTCTCGCTTGTGTATCGCGTTTCGCGTTCTGCACCGCTAATCCGCTTCTTCTACGAGCTAGGAGAACAATATATCAACACTACACAAATGCTGTGCTAGCAAAGCAAACCAACAAGTTCTACAGTGACAAGGGATTGGGGAGGGGGGGGGGGGAGGTATTATCGTAATTTTACGGCATCTTAACCAGCAAATTGTCTTCATTGTGAAAACAGGCCTATGCCGTGTTCATGAATTCCTGTGGAGCTCAATGAAATGTCTGACGATATAAAACAATTGCGAATGAGTAAAACCGTCCTTCCGAATATCTAAGTATATTATTTCACCCAGAGGATACGATTCTGATACGGTTTACAGACTAAGCTTAAAACGTTTTTGCGAAGAATCACAATATGAAAGTCCAAAACGTTTGAAAACGAGCCCATCTATGTTTAACTATGAAATTGAAAGTAGCAAAAAGAAAAAAAAAGTTCACTACAGTTCAGTTTGATTTGTGATAAAATTCACTGCTAAGACATTACTGTCGCCCCTATCAAATTTAGCCACGTGGCACTTCTCGACTGGGAAACTACTCCAGTAGAAAAACACGTGTATATCACGAGCAGTTCACGTGCTAAGGACCAATAAGGTCACCAAACGACAGTGGAACAAATTATTGGAGGATTCTGCCTACAAGAATGTAATGGTAAAGGTGTTTAATCGACCAGTGAAAGGACTAGTCTGAATATTTCACAAATTCACCTGTAGCGTCGTATTCGGACAATTCTACTACATTTACTGTACTCGCTTTGTCAGTATTAATTACGAAATTTTAAATTAACTCCTGGTCCCTTTTCAGGGAGTGAAGCTAGAGTCATTAGTCCTCGTAGGGTCTTTTAGGAACACGAAATACGCCAAGGGTCACGTAACAAACTTGCGAGTTCTTCCTGTTCCGGCGCGATGATGTTTCTGGAACACTGCCTCTGCTCTGGCCAATCAGAGCGACGATATCACTCCTCTCTAGTCAATAAGTCCTCTCTTACTTACAGAGAATTGGTTCCTTAGTTCACACCGGTTTATAATAGCCTCAGGTATTTTTCTATTCCGCGCGACCCAGAAGAGATTGTGCGTTCTATTTCCAATAACAAGCTATTCTTGTTTTGGAATCGTTCATCTACACGGAAGCCACTACGACCATGAGGTGGCCGCTGTCGGCCGCGCTGTCCAGGAGGTCTGGTGAGACTCGTGCCAAGTGCTCCTGGGCGAAATCGCACGGCGGGAAGATGTGAAGAACATAACTTGGCTGAGGATAAAGGAAATTACAAACGATTTAATATTGAAATTGCCTTATTAGTGTTTTCTTTATTAGAAAACCATTATTTCAGTGCGGTTTCTTACTGACTAAAGCGAATTTTCTTAATTCAGCACCACCACCACCACCACCGCCAACGAAGTATCAAGTCTCTTCAGTTTGAAATCCGAATTAGCACAGCGCTGAGAATGAAGAATTCCAGTAGGAAATTGTTCCGGTTGAAATCCTTACCTGAGCGCTTCCAGGTATGGCCACATTGATGATTCCCGCTGCCTGTTTTTGCTGTAAGTAGTTGATAAAGCCACTCTTCAACGCGCGTGTCTGCGCGTGAACATCAAGAGGATCTCGGCCACAGGGGAGAGCGAGTAATAGACAGTGATCTTTGTCTGACTGTGGAGAAAACCAAAAAAGTTTTTTTACAATCAACGACCGCAAATACAGCCTGCCAACAGGCTCCCGGCTAGGACGGAAAAAAAAAAATTCTGCGAGCGCGAAACTGAAGATTTTGGGAGAGCAAAGCGATTGGGGCGGAAGGCTACCGCAAATATTATTTGGCAAAGAGGAAAAACGAAAACTTGCAATAAACATACTCTAACTGTAATTTTTCTTCGCCTTTAGTTGACATGTTGTGTCTCATTTTGATGCTTGTTTTGTAAGATTCATCAGCGAAAAGCGTTTCACCAAACTGCAATGCTTTCTTTTTTCAAGCGTGGATAAATCTGTGCGCGCCTTAGCCTGAGTGCAAGGTCTCCTCTTTTCTTTGCTATACGAGTGAAGTAAAGAAACCAGGACAAGTCTACAACCAGACTATTTCAAATTCAACTCGAGTTGCTTTTTAACTCTGCAAAAGTTTTGCTAAAAATACTCTTTCAATTTTGTCCGAGTTCACAAACGTTCTCATTCCTATAAAGAAGTGACCGTTTTCTCTCTTTGCTTTAATTCAGGACAGAAGTAACAACAATTTCTGACGTACTTGCATTCTCCTGATGACACCCTCCAGCTGAGATGGTTCCAGCTTCATCCGCTGAGCGATCCTAATGGGTGGGGGCACGCTTCCTATCCCGTTGGCTGGGGCCTGAGGTAGCGATACCTCTGCCAAGCGGCCGTTGCCCGCCAAGTAGTGCATCTGAACTGCAGCAGAATCGTTCTTCAAGGCCAGCAGCCCTTGCCAGACCACTGGGTACCGGCGCAGCAGGTCCAGGAGGGTGTCTGCGTTTGATTGCTGCGCGACAGGGGGTGGGGTGTTGTAATCTGGGTGTGGTGGGGGAGGAGGGGGTAATCCCTGGGGAGACGCCAAGCTTGGCACGGCAGGCACGCCGATAGGGACACCCGGCGAGTGAACAGCTAGCGGGGGAGTGGAAACGTTAGGTGGAACCACCACTGCAGGGTTCAGAGGTATGCCGGCAGGAGGAACGGGGCTGAGTGTGGCCGGAGAGGCTACCACGGGCACGGCACGGTTTCCATCGTAAAGCTGCGGCTCGTAACGTACTGGCGGCGCTGGAGTCACGTCATAAGGTGGCCTGACCATCTGTGTAGGGAGCCCGTCTGGTGGTAGAGCTACTCTTGGTAACATGTCCGCGGGAGGGAAGCCCTCTACAGCCTCTCTGGGAGGTGGAGGGGGAGGAGGGGGAGGTGGCGGTGATTCACCGTCAGATGTCCGCCGCCGTTTGGGCCTCACAACATCCGTCTTTTCCCAGTCTCGTCTCCGCTCGTCCCTGTGTGGCTTACGAGGAGAACGACTCCCAGCGTCGCGTGAAAATTCTCGTTCTTCTTTAGGCAGCCTTTCCTCGGAGGAATGTCGTCTTGGAGGCTTCTGATTTTCAAATTCAGGTCGATCGAGCCTGTTATTTTCATCATTGTCTCTGTTTTCAAGTCTCTCTGAGTCAGTATCAACACTGACTCGTGGTTTATCGACTGGTATCACCATGTCAGCAGCTGCCTCCTTACCCGCTGCTTCCTCCATACGCACAGTCTCCTCTTCTAGCTCCCGCTCTTCTTCCTCTTCACCTAACGAGCCTCGAATACGTTTGTGTTTCCTACGTTTCTTTGCGTCTTTTTTCTCCTTCTTTTTGATTCCCTTTTCCGGCAGAGGAGACGCTGGAGCAAGTTCCTTCTCCCCGTCTTTAACCAAGACGTCTGCATCTTTGGTACCATTGCCTTCTAACCGCCGATCGTCCCGAACGCGTTCGACGGTTTCCGCCTCTTTACCCTTCGGTACAATCTGAGCCTCGCCGCTTCTACCTTTTCTCGGCTTTTTCTCGTCCAGGATTTTTCTCTCGTCTGTTTCCTCGCCATCACTGAGAGCTTCTTTGTCCTCAGCAGCTTCACCTTCAGGAGTTGGCGACCGAGGCTTTCTCCTCCTCTTCTCTTTTCTCTTGGCTCGTTTCTCGTCCTGCTCGATATCGCGACTTGCCGGTTTACTGTGCAACGACCCTCGGTCGTCGTCTTCGCTGTAACCAGGCCTCTCTCGGTCGTGCTCGTCGGTAAAATCCCGGGGTCGAGCGTCTTTCCGGTCACGTGATTCCTCATACGAGCCCGAGCTACTCCTATCTTCACGCCAGCGTTCTTGGTTCTCAGGGTAAAATCGTTCATTTGCACTGTAGTTTCCATCTTCTCGATCCCTGTCCCGTCCGCTCCTCTCGTGTCTCTGTCGTCCTTGTTCTTTTTCCCTCTCTCGCTGCCGACTGTAGTTGTAATCACGAAGCTCTTGATCATAATCATCTGACTCGTACCCAGCCCCTTCGTATGACCCACGGTAGCGCACATGCCCTCTCTGATGATAACCGCTGCCCTCAGAATATTCATATTCGCCGCCGCCTCTGTGCCAGGGTCTGTGACTTGACATGTCCCGTCTCATATTACCACGTCCTCCTCGGCCTCTATCCCACCGGTTATCGTAATACCCGGACCCACCCCCTCGACCACGGGATCTCGGAGACGAAGGCTCGTATCTCCGGCTACTGCTGCCGCTGCTGCCATCAGATGGAGCGGAACGCCCCAAGGCGTCGAAGAAAAGTTGGCGACTGTCGCGGCTAACAAACTCAACCTGTGTCATGAAAACAGAAGAGAACAATCAAGATTGATAAAAACGCATTTTTTCCAGCGTTGTCACAGTATTTATAAGAGAATCTTTGTTTACAGTATTTGCCTCATAAACATAGCATAAGCGATACAGTTTCTGATGGAGCTACAAAAACATTTAATTCTGAATATTGAAAGAGCACAGCGCAATAAACTGTGCCAAGGAATTTGAGCCAAATGTGTTGAATACATTTTGTGCGCGCGGGTTTTTAAAAAAGAAAGCATGAGCTCATCAGTGCTTTTACCCAGTTGCAGTTTTTGAAAGCCAATTTCCTCTCGAACATTACACCCAAAGAGCCAAAAATTTCACCAATTACTAAGTTCCACAAGCTCTTTAAACGTTTGTAGTCAATTTGTGTCCAGCGCGATGCCTTCTCTATTCGTATGTTAATGAGGAAAAATGTAAAAGATTCACCTATTTGTGTGTAAATGAAGATATTCTTACCCTCACACGCCGACTAAACATAGTCCTGCCCTTCATTTCTCCTTGGGCAATGCTTGCAGACTCGACACTGTCAAAACTGACCAGGGCCTGTTCTCTAGCACGGTTCACCACCACCCTGGTGACACGCCCATATCGACTGAAGTGTCTCTCAATCTGCTGGTCGTTCAACCCACTCAGCCCTCCCACCCAGATGGTGTTGATGGGTGACACCTTGCCAAACCCAACCTGAAACACAAACATTCCAACAGACAAATTGACCGACTGAAAAAATTTACATCAGCATAATTTTCCACCTTGTGATTGGCGGATTAACTGCATTTCTAATACATTTCCACTGATTAACTCAATACATTGTTGAGCAGACAGGTACTCAGAACAAAGAGAGCCATCAATTAGGGGATATTGGCAAATTGTACCATCACATTTCCAAAGCTAACATCAAAAGAATTGTTTGCTACGAATTGGTTGGTAAGACTGCATTGACTATATGACTCTATGTACATATGTACTTCTGCACCTTGACTCTGTTGCGTCCCACAAATTCTCTGTCCATCCGCCTGCGAGCTTGGATAGCACTGCTGAGCTCAACAAACTGGATGAAGGCATAGGGATTGTTACCAGCCTGTTTCTTAATATCGACATCCTGCAATGAAAGGAGTAGTGTGAGAATTCACTAAACTAGTTTGGAGGCTAAGTGGCAAAGGGGCTAGTTTGTTGGACTTTGAATCACATGGTCCAGACAATTTTCATTCACAGTGCACCAGTAAAAGACTAAAGAGTGCTAGTGACCTGTTCAGGCAAACTCTCAGAATGGTGAGGTGTAACCTGACATGGACGAGCATCCCATTGAGGAAAACCAAATAATGGTATTGTCATTAAGGGCCGGGCATCGGGCAAATTGACCAGCTGTGAAGACAGTTTTGCCCACCTGGTTTAACCATCTAGAGTAATGTTTTTCCTGTAAAAAGTTCAGTTCAAAAAGTTTTGCCCGCCTGTGAAAACCAGGTGACCTCCTGCTGGAGACGTTAATGAAACCCCCGTAAATACTCCTAGTGAATTCATGCTACAGAAACTTCCTTGAATGCACAGCATGTTCTATCAACAGAATTCACACCTTGGTTCAGCATTACCAGTAGTTGAGCCATTTCTCATTCATCAAAGGTATCCTTATTACTCACCACAATCTCTCCATATCTCTCAAATGCCTCCTTAAGATCTGAAAATGTTGTTGTCTTTTCAATGTTTCCCACAAAAAGAGTTCGAGTGCAGCCCGGATCAAAATCATCATCTACCATAGAACTGCCATGTGAGCGATGGCGTGGAGGATGATCACTGCTATCATAACGGTCATCTATGATGAAAATTGGTGATAAGAAAAAAACATTCTCTTTATTATTTTCGTCAGTATCCTTGCGAGAAAGTTCAAGAGAAGTTAGGAATCAATTATCTTTTCATAATGAAAATTCTGTAACATTCCATTTGTTAACAACAAATGAAGTGAAAACAAGATTGCCCAAAACTTCAGCATTTCAACAATTATTTGAATAGTTGGCAAATTGTGCCATGGTGTTATAAAGGGTTAAAAAGGAATTTTGTGAATTTTTTTCTTAAAATGTAGAATCCATGGTCATAACATACCGGTAACAACAGTTTAATGATATGACTATCAACTGTTAACTAACCATGCCAATACTGCAGATCCATCTCAGCACCAAGGAACATCTTTCCACGACATGCTTCAAGACCTCGCTCAGCATCTTCAGGCCTATCGACAACAAAGAATATCTTTTATAATACAGGCAAATCTCAGGTGAGAAAACACCATTTTAAAGTGATATGTTTGTATTTGGTTGCCAGCCTGACTAACTACCTGCTTAGAGCATGTATCTATGGGCATAGGGGCAACTGTACCTTAAAAACTACTTGAGTGATCCCAGTTGTTAGAGTACAAAATATTAGCTTACAGGAAAACAATCAATAAATTTCAAGTCACACTGTGACTCCAAAAGAAAACAATATATGATGTAAAACTGGACTGAAATTAATTCAGATACATTCATATGTATCTAGCAGTTAGGCAGGAAAACTATCACATCAACCTTGTAACTGTCCTAGTTCACCACAAATCTGTCTGTAGCTCAGTGGTTAGTGTTCCTGACTGGCATGTCTGGGAGGATTCAAATCCAGTTAGGTACTCAGATTTATTTTCTGCGTCATTTACATGTACAATGCAACTCATGTATTCAATTGTAGCTATAATGCATTTGCTTGTAAGATGATGCACTTGTCTAGTTCTAAGAAAATCAAACTTAGGAGGGTCAAGTATAAGATAAGAAGACACCAATATGTACCTTCTAAAGTGCACAATAGCATATCGGCTGGAGCCTTGACCATTCACAAATATACGAGATACATCCCCATGCTTTTTAAACTCATGATAAAGGCCATCATGGACACTGCTATCTAAGATATTAAACAACAAAGATTGGTTACTAACTGAAAGACAAAGAAATGTTAAGAATGGCAAGTAAAAACCTTGACAAAAAAAGTATGGCTGCTATTCATGTTGTTGTTTTATTAAAAGAGAATTTATAAAAGTTTAACACCCAGTCCCATACAATTTTACACCCTTGACAATGTGACTTTTCAATGATGTCCTTTACTTTTTCCTTCAAGAAAAAAAGACACTGAGACACAAATTTGGCAATAAGTTTTGTCAACACTAACCTTCAATTCAATTTCCCACAAGAATTCTGAAGAATTAAAGACTTCAATACAAGTCACCTACCTCCTGATCGCAACGAAATATTCCTCAAACAGAGTGCGGAGGTTCTGCTTTGTGGTGCTTCTGAAGATGGAGCGGGTGCATGGACACTTTCAGTTCTACTGCCTTCTTCTTCTTCACTGCTACTGCTACCACTTGAACTGGGTGACTGACTTCTACTGTGGCTACTTTCACTGCCACTATCACTACCGCTGGAGTGATCTGGACTGGGATCTTGATCCCGATATGCTTCTAAAGAATGAAAGGAGTAAATCCACAGTAATGTTATACTGTAGTAAAGTCAATGACAAGACAACCTCAGTTGCTGGTTTACTTGAAGGCAAATTTAAAGGGAAGGTTTACTGTTCCTTTGGAGGTAGTAGGAAGCCTAAATTTCAATCCAGCCAGATGCAATTTTGTTGGTTTTCACAAGCCGCAGCAGGGGTTTCATTTAGGGCCAGGTACAGGGCACCATCTAAAGGAAAGTTCTTCTTACAGAGAAGTTCAGTTCAAAACGTTTTGCCTGCCTGTGAAAACCAGTTACCCTGCTTCTGAAAACGTTAACGAAACCCCTGCTATAAGATAAGGTGTTTTAAGCTCCCATAGATAGAGAAATATCGACTATTTGATGGGTGAAAGGATAGTATTTTCATTTGAAAAGGTTAAATATACTGCATAATGAGATACTTTACAGAGCAACTCAATCTTGGAGCTTACCAGGTTTATGAGTAGTTCTACGAGGTTCTTGACCATGGCTGTAAGGCTGTCTTCGATGATCTCTACTATTACGAGGCCTGGCTCTGTTTGCACTGACTCCACTTCCACTTCCACCTCCAGCTGGTGCCCTTGGGGCTGCACCCTCATCATCACCGTATCCATCTTGGTAAAAAGTCTGTGGCCGGCCACTGTACCTCCCGTCAGATGCACTACTGTTTGGAAATAAAACAGGTAATTATTCTCTATTTCATTAGTTCCATGGTTGATTCCCCACACTTTTTTCATCTCTGCCCAATCAAGAGATTCTTCATAAAGTCATTTAGTACTACCTCATAACTTAAGTGTCGAAATTTCACATGAAAAGCTAGGGAGACCTTAGAAATTTAAAGAATATCCTAAAGATTTAAGTGTAAACAGCAGTCCATTCAAAATGGAACTGAGTTGATTTGATCATTCGTACAATCTAGTCACAGGATCTATCTGAATATGGCAGTGACACATTGGATTACATGTGAAAATAAAACAACTTATCATGCTGATTAAAACTCTACAAACAGACCAATATCTACATTTGCTGCTATAGCTAAAGAGCAAGATAAGAAATTGTCCACAGATGCATTTATACAGTCAAATCCTAACAATCATGCTGTAACATCCCCTGATGTCCAACATTTGCACCAGGTCAGCTGTCGTCCAAAAAGTGTCATCAGGGAACTACTTTTGTGTTTTTAATCAAATTGAGCTCAAACTTTGCAATATGATACACAATTCAAAACCAAGCCATTGCAGATTTTTTTGTTATTTTAGCAGTTTTTGGTTGGAAAAAGACGTCATCTAACAGAAAAATTTTATTTTCATTTTCTCACTAAACTAATGAATGATTTGAACAGTAATTTTGGATTATCAGACAAGAGATGAAGTTTTTCATCAAAGGTCCTTGAAGTGACTAGGAGTATTTTTACACCCCCTGGATGGGATGCTAGTTCATTGCTGGTTACTCCTTAGCATTAACAAAGACAACAAACAATACTAATAATAACAGATTGTTTTTCTTTATTGGCAGAAGGTTGTGACAAGTGAAAACATTTCCCAAAATGTCTATCAATACTGGTCTTCCCACTTTCCCTTATATTTCGCTCTTTTGTCTCCGGAGGGATGGTTGCGCAAAGCATTAACAAACACTAACACTGTAGTGGCATGTGAAGAAATGACACTTGAAACAAAGTATTGAATGGATAAATTCGATAAATAATTTTACGCAGTACTAACCTGACTGTCTTAGTATAACATTAGTTGTCGGCTTGCCTATCAACAACACCACTTCATGATATGTACTCGTCAAAGTACAGTATACTACACTAAAATCATCCCAATTTGAATTCCGTGGGCCACACTTACAACATTGAAAGATGACCATACACTTTGCCAGCCACACCACTTTGTAAACATTAAAAGACAAACACTCCCCATAATCCACACAATCATGTAATGACACTCATATGTTTGATCTGTTCTTCAGAGCACTTTAATTCAATCAACTTTCAAGAGGTAATCTTGTTGGTACACTTGTTCTTGTTGGAACAGCTTATTATCAAACGCAACCTCTGCTGAAGTGATGATAATAATTTTTATTAAGAATGAAGAACAGAGACCAAGACTGTGCATTTTGTAAAGTCATCCGAAGACAAATCCCAGTATAATTCCAAGTTTTGCTGTTCTGTTTCTGATCTATCCCCACAGCTTGTGGCGTTGGAAACCAAGTCTCTGCTTTTAAAATAAATCCTGACCATTCCAGACAAAATCCACACAGATGAAGCACTGGTAATTTTTTTCAAGTTGTCCAGTACAATGTATGATTCCACACATCTTGCACAGCACCAGCAAGAATGGCATTGGGTAATATTTGAAATCTCCTCCACAAGTCTAGTGATTCTTATATAAAAGTTTGTACTCGGCCACAATCTTGATCTTTATCGTAAAGTTGTGTTGACAAGATCCAAATCAGGTAAAGGGTGTCCATGTAGTTGGGTCACAAACGAAAACTAACAATACACCACACTGATTTCCATACAATTGACACGATGTAAGTACTGGAAATTTTGGCAGCACATCAAGGCACTCAAACCTCTCGTTGATTCAATTTGTTTCCCTGACACCTGTATACTTTAAAATGTATTGATCTTATAAGGAGAAACAGGATGTTGATGACTCTTAAGTTTTAGATGGTCAGGTTGAGTTTTTCCTTGCACTCACAGAATAAACAAATTAAACCCTTCGACAGACCTCATCCAATTGAATTTGGGGGGTTGAGTAAAATCAGCTATGAAGAAGTCCATCATACTTTCAGTACAGGCTACAGAAAAAGATACAAAAAAGAAATCCATAACAGCTTTAAGCCACTATTTTTCCTCATCAAAGCAGTGAAGCACTCATGATCCAGGAAAGGTTGCCGTGCTCCTCTAATGGTGTTGATTCATCCTGAATCAAAAGTAAGGACCTCAGTAGGCTCTGATCTAAGATTTACATTCAATCTATACAAAGCCACAACTTGTCATCCTATCAAATCCTGATTGGAGTGGAACATGGAAGCTCTTTTACAGACACAGACCTGACAGTCATGGAAGTCAACAACCATACAAATCGATGTCGCACTTTCACAAATCCTCGAAATCCTTGCAGTGTTTTTGAACAATCTTGATCCCTTTGATGCTTGTGGGAAGTAAAGGACAACTTTCATCAATCTTCGATTCCTCTCAAGTGAGATTTGAGTTCCCAACCACACACTCTTTAACTTTCCACATTTTCTTCTTGCAACAATGATGGTTTGGAGCATAAAGAATGCTTGGAAGTCCAATAGATTCTTTTACAGAAAACGTGGCTCATAGCTGACCAATCACATACCATGGTATTTTACGAATTTGTTGCTATACTTGTTGTTACGAATCCAACCACAAAAGTTGATATTCTTCCAAAGGTTGACATGACATCTTTTTCTTGAGCAATTTTCTTGCTAACATCCACAAAATCTCTTTTCCAAATCGACCATAAGATTTTTCATGAGCTGTGGTAAAATCTTGTTTCCCAACAAAAGAATGATCATGTTTGATGGTATTACAGGATTCCATCCATCTTTAATGATGGTGCAAATGCTTGCATTTTTAAAACTCACAGTATACCACAATCCGATATGACATGGGTTGGCAAGGTGGCGTTTCATTTGAATGCTAGAGATGTTTGCCGACACTTCACAGAATACAAGTAAAGTGAAAGGCCAGTGCAGACAATTTTCTTGGTTTTTTTAAAAATTTATTTTTCTTTCAAAAACCATACCATACCCACACACTGCACGTAATGTATACTTACAACGTTTTCTTTCGTGACTTGCGCCATTTGAAGAACGTGTCAGTCTCACGTGACAATTTCATGTTGCCGCCAAAAAATACACTTAGGAAATAGCTTATGAATCACTTACCCCTCTGCTCGTCTGTCAAATCGCCGTCTTTGTACCGGCGATCCAGGAGCCGAGTTACTCTTAGTTCTTGTCGGCGGGTCTGTATGCCCGTGCAGCCGGGAAATATTCCCCGCACTGCCTGGTTCATTGTAATCCGTACGCATTTCACGGTCTCCGATTCTGTTCACAGCCTCGTGCGCTTTGGTAGCGCTTCGAATATCCACAAAATCGACGAATGCCGCCCTTCCGCCTTCCTGGCTTCGTTTTGGTAATATTTTAACGCTTTCCACCCGGCCATATCTGTGGAGAAAGAAAAACAAGACGACGATTTCATATAAACCAACTTGGTGACGTGTAACACAAAGATTCCGGGGGTCCAAACATTGCTAAAATCGCCCGGTAAAATCGGCCCTCTACTTCTTGGAAGCATAAAGTTCTCTTCAAAGTATACATTTTCCCCATTCTAAATAAATTCCAACATACTACTATTGAAAAAAATATATTTTAAGTTTTCTTCAGCAATAGCTGTCGTGAATAACTATCAAAAAGACGAGAGAGTGTGTCAACACAAGTAAACTTAATTTTCGATTTCAGCTTGGAGCCAAAGGCTGTGCGGTAATTTTGTGGGCAGCAAGTCAGACAATCAATATATAGTTTCTCTCATACAATAACACAAGAATTGGCAATATTTCGTGTTAAAGTAAATTTCAACAAGAACCGCGAAAGCTTCTTTAACAATTACAAGATCAACTAAGCATTAGCAACAAATTGATTTTCGTAGCGTCCCTGCTATACACCAGAAACTCAACTGCACCAATCGTTCCACGATAGGGAAAAGTAAAACCTCAAACAACAAAACACTGTTACAACTTTGTAAAGGTTCATACAAGGAACCAAAATGTGATCATTAGGGAATATGATGCACCTTGCAGCGCGCCAAAAATTGAAAATTGTTGATTCTGACCTGGTGAAGTGCTTGACAATTTCTTCTTCCCTGATGTTTTCCGGAAGGTTTCCGACCCACAAATGGCGAGTTTCGCGCACCATCCTGTTTACGAATAGTCGCTCCTACTTGGTAAAAGCTGTCCGATCCGTTGCGACACGCAGAACAGCCGTAAAGACACACATTTTCCTAACAACTTTTGAAATATATTCACAGGGAAAGCGGAGACTTCGCGATTTCACTTGCAGAGGATCATGGGAGTTACTGAATCGCTTGATATAAAATCTTCTCTGATTGGTCATTTTTCAAAACCAATCACCAGTTGATTTATTTTTGACCAATGGCGTTCGTGCTTTTAGTGACAGAACAAGACTTGCTCTTTGCCTTCCCTCACTGCACTGCACTTGAGAGGAGTCCGTGTACACATTGTCAGTGACACTGCAAAATCTGCTCCTTTTAACCGTAAGTCAACCTTCTTTTCTGTTTTATGGGCTTCTCTTTTAAGGATTTTTGCTTATACTTGAAAGATCTTTCCAGCCGTTGAGAGTTTCTCAGCATTCTAGAAGAAATTATGCAAGATCATGTCATTCCAATCCCCTGCAACTTTTTCCGCTTTTTCCTAGACAAATAATAAGTAAACATGATAAATAGTTCGTTTTGAGCTGAATTGATTATGGCATAACGAAATTTAGGTTTTAAGTTATTGTAGTTTTTGACATGCAGCTAAATCTTTGCAATCATCGGATGAAACTTTTCCGTTCGCCTGATTCAACATCAGATGATATGGAGCCTGACCCATGGCACGTAACTTCCAGAGATACCACAATCCTTCAGCAGCTTTTCATTTGCTGTAGCTTTAATTATTTGAACAGTAATGACATCTGGCCAGTGATCTTTGCAATTTGTTTTTCTTTTGTTCAAATCACCGCACCTAGAGGTTCTGGGTGTCAAGTAGGTACTGGGGTCTGGGAAGACTTCCTAAAATTGAGCTTCACGGCTCTTGCTTGAAAATGATTAATTTGCAATATTTTCCCATTTAAATCTCCAATCAATGAGCTCAGTTAAAATATTTAGTGTCAGCATTTTTACTGATCTATGTTCCCAAATGATTTTTGTCTAGTACAAAGATAACAAGGGTGCAGCAAGGTGAAGGTCATCAGCTAAATTTTACAGTATCTGACATGTTATCTCCTTTTTTTGATTTTAAAATAGTTCCTGTTGTTTTCACCCTTGTTCTACACAGCACTTTACACAGAGTTCTGGTTATAAGCTCTTTGGAGTTGCTGGGTACAGTCTACAATTGCTCCAGGGCATTTTATCGTGTTTCACTCACAGTGTACCTTGTTTTGCACCAGAGATGTAGCTAAGGGCTGGCTACCAGCTAATTTCACTGGCTGAAAGGGAACTTAAGTGGCTGAAATTTGGGGCAAAAAAAAATTGTGCAAAGGCCAGAAAAGTCAGCTGTGCTTGTGTTGAACTGACTTAGTGTTTTCATAGCTGCATGCCTGTTGTGTATCATATATTACTCCAAAACTCAGTGTGTTATCTCATGACCGATTGAAGACAACAACTTGACAGAGGGCGCAGTATGTGAAATGACGTAAAATATATATGTTCATACATTTCATTAATAAATGTAGCAACTGGTGGGAGATTCTCCTCAAAGGAGGGTCCAACATTTGTTTGGCGGGATGCAAGAAAAGGGTAAGAATGGAGGCAAGATGTGGGATGAAAGAAATTTTAATGGCAAGATGCGCGATGAAAATACTTCGGTGGAAGAGGGATTTGCTCATTTTGACAGGTGGGATGTGATTAAAATTGACGACAGGATGTGGGATGGAAAACAGAAAAATTATCAAACGTTATGGATGCTGCACGAAGAACTGCAACAGTTAATATAACCAGATGGGATCAGCAGAGACATTCTGAGTGGAGCATGATTGAGCCAAAAATTGTGGCAACATGTGAGATTGAAAAAAGCCTATGTTGGACCCTCTGAAATATCAGAAATTTTCTTTTTGGATTTAAAACTTAGGTCCCATGTTGCGCTGAATGGAATGAACCTCCTAAAGTCCTCTCAGACCTTGGTGGGGAGAATTATCCTCTCCTCATGTCAACTTAACCTGTTCAGATGTAGTTTGTCCACTATCCCCGCCCCTGCACAAGGTGATTTCCTTTCACCCTTTAAAAATATTTTTGCTCATTAAGTCCCCTTGCATGACTCCTTTCAGGCTAGGAATTACATGTACACCAACTGCTTCACAAAGTATTTGTAAATTGTATGTTATGGAGGGGCAAAATCATTGTGATAGCTGATGGCTTAAGTAAAGAATACAATTTTTAGTAGGAAAACGTTACTTGTTGATTCTGTAGTTGTTTAAGTTAAGACTACCGTCTACCAGACAAGTAATGTACAAATAACGTACAAATAATGTTAAACTCCTAGTTTCAAACCATTGATAGTCTCAATTGCTGGATATAAGCCCTGGCAATTATGAGAAGAAATATTATACACTGTATTTAGTAAATTATATAACTTTGAAGTGTAAAGAAGCTTGCAAGATGCTATCAATAATGAGAAGATAATAACATTATTATTGATTAGGAATACTAAATTTTTACAGGAAAAATGTCTGGTGTTAGCAAAGTTTGTGCTCGCGAAATATTTGACAGCCGTGGAAACCCCACAGTCGAAGTTGATATCACAACATCTAAAGGTAAATAAGTTGTTTTGTTGATAGCTTTGTCTTAATGTGGCTCTTTTGGAAAGTTAGCTTTTCCATTTTTGTGAATAAAACGTAGGCTTGATTTCATCTGCTCTCTTGAGTCTGGTGTACATTCCTCCCCAAGAAAAGAGGACGAGGAGCATGTACTCCTTTCCCAAACAGCAGCTGGTAATCAAACCTAGATAAAACATTGTTATTCATATTGTTATTGCAAGACTTCAAGATGCTCAATCAGTGCACTTGGATTCTGCTCATGCTCACGCTTTTAAAATATGATGAATTCTGTAATACTGGAAATTATAAACTTATCAGAGGATCATTATCTTGATTCAAGTTCTTGAAAACTTTCTTTTGGTCAGATAGGTGTTTTCAAAGTTGTGCTTGCAACCTGTTGCGGTCTTGAAATTTCCTTGTGACATAGCACATTAGAATTTACAGTGGAGCCCTGTAAATCTGGTCAACAGCCACAAAAATTTGGCTGCATGAACAGGGTGGCCATATTAAAGGGGTTCTTTCAATAAGAAAATGCCTTACTGAGCTTTTGTTTGGACCAGAATAAAGTGGCCGTAATAACAAGATGCTTTTATTAATGGGGCGGCTGCAAGGCAGGGTTCCACTGTATTACTAATTACTTTTACCATACATCGCTATCATTGCCACTATGGTAACATGCTTTTATTTTTTAGGGTCATTCCGTGCTGCGGTGCCGTCAGGTGCATCAACTGGTATTTATGAAGCTCTAGAACTTAGAGACAAGGATCCAAAAAGATTTCTTGGAAAAGGTAAAATTATAATCAAATATTTGGATGAAAAAACTGTATTCAGTTCTGAAATAAAATTCTGCACATAGTCAAAACAGTTTCAGACATGTCCTGTAGCATTCTACCTCTTTGATTCAAAACCCAAAGTTCAACTGAGTGATGATATTCTTCCAACTACATGTATAGCCTCCATGGAATATAAGAACATTTGATGAGAATCAAGGTGTAATCCATGGTGTTTTCAGGCATTTCCTATGTTTGTAGACCACATTAACTTTATTTAGAAGTTAATGAACAGTGTTCCCGTTGACAAGTAGTCCTACTATGTTTTAGAGGTGTACATGCAGAAGTTAACAGAAATTTTATTGAAGGTTGACATTGAACCACTAAAGGAGTGTATGGTTATTTTAGTGTTACATTGTTCTTTCCAACTGTGAATCAAAGAATCATAACATCTCTAGATCCTTCAAACATTTTGACTGGTAGTAATTAAGTTCTATTTAGTACATACCTCCTCTTCAAAGCTCAATTACCCAGGAAGTTTTTCTTGACATGTGAATAAACTAATCAACATTTTGTCTCTTAATTGTGATAGGAGTTCTAAAAGCTGTTGAAAATGTCAATTCTATCATTGGACCAGCTCTCATTTCAAAGGTGAACAAAATAGTGATTAATAGCCAGCCACTCTTTTTTCAATGAGCCCCTACACTTATTAGCACAGAGTTACACTAGAGATTTTAAACAAACAGTCATAAGATTGTAAATGATGTGTTGTGGGAGGAGGCAGTGTGGCTGAATGGTAAGGGTGCCAGTCTTGAAATCTGGGGATTGCAGGTTCAAGTTCCATTCTGACCACTTAAGCTGGTGTTGTTCTTAGTAGTCCCAGGTGAAAATCCTTGGCCACATTTGTAAATGAGCAGTGGAAACACTTGCCAATGGCTTAATATGTTCCCAAAGCATTTCTTGTTCTCCCAAACTTCCAGTTGTGCTTCTATAACTCATAATAATTCTAAAACCTGGAAGATGTTTTCTTTTTTCTTAAAAATGGTTTTGCTTACATTTAGTTTTTAAATTCTCCAATTATGAGTGTGGGACGTTTATGGTTCACATTTGCAAGTCTCTCAAACTGAGGAATAAATGAGCACATAAGAGAACTTTTGTGAAACTTTCCTTTTAATCAATATTATTTAATGCACACAAATTAAACCTTGATTTGAATTGAAGCTCTATATGTTTTATTTTAATCTAAGCATTTTATTGATTTTTGATTTTTTTAAGAATGTGGATGTGACCAAACAAGAAGAAGTGGACAAACTCATGCTTGAACTTGATGGAACTGACAACAAAAGTAAATGAAGAAAAATGTTGTTTTTGATGTTACATAATAATAGTATTAGGTACATAAGTGAATTCTTGAACCCTTGGGTCTTTTATTTCATTTAATTCCTTCCAAATGTACCATAAAACCATAAAAGAGTGATAATACATGTAACACATGTTGTCACTCTTCTGCTGTGCTTGTAGTCCAGATAAATTGAATTGCATGTCTTTGATCTCATTGGTTAAACAAGCGGTCCGAATTTTCTCTTGTGAACAGCTCACATTTTTCTCCCAGGAGCTGTTCCATACTTGCCATTTTTAACAACCTTAGATCTCTGTATCAGTAAATTGAACAAAACATTTTGACCAAGGTTATTTGGTGCACTGAGCTGCAGAAATAAATGTACAAATACATGTGTTGTTATGAATGTTTTCAACAAAGTCAGTTTACACAGAGGTCTGCATGTGAGCAAAGGAAACAGCTTGGCCAACATTTCTACATCTCCAGCTTGTGTTTGTCTGTAACAGCTAGATCTGAATGTGTCATGTGTTTGTTCTTNTTCCATACTTGCCATTTTTAGCAGCCTTAGATCTCTGTATCAGTAAACTGAACAAAACGTTTTGACCAAGGTTATTTGGTGCACTGAGATGCAGAAATAAATGTACAAATACATGTATTGTTATGAGTGTTTTCAACAAAGTCAGTTTACACAGAGGTCTGCATGTGAACAGAGAAAACAGCTTGGTCAACATTTCTACATCTCCAGCTTGTGTTTGTCTGTAACAGCTAGATCTGAATGTGTCATGTGTTTGTTCTTTATTGATGGTTTCAGCGAAACTGGGAGCAAATGCTATTTTGGGAGTCTCACTGGCAGTTTGTAAAGCTGGAGCAGCGCACAAGGTAAGGCTACATTTAGCTAACTACAAGTTAATAAATAAATATTACTAAATTTATCCAGGCTACATTTTTATTAACTCTTTGGTAGATTAACTGTGCTAATCATAAGGTGCTTAATATAATTGAGTTTGTTGTTGAAAACTTTTGAGCATTGATTTCTCACCATTAGAAATTTCCAAATTTGTGATATTTATTCTTCTCATGGATTGCTTCTATAGTATTGGTGCTCTCCCCTGAATGGTATTCTAGTCCATCATACAGTATCTGTGCACATCTTATCAGGCTTTCATGTCATTTCATAAACCAGTTTGTACTCCTGGGTAAAAAAACGACAATTAGTTAAAAAATGTTTTGCCCACCAAGAACATAGCACCATCACCCTAACTCAAGACCTCAATACAGACTTACAAATTTAGAGTCTAATCTGTTATCTGTCAAGTCTGGATTTATCTGTTGAATGGTTTAACTAGTATTTGCTGTTATTTTAGGGGGTTCCTCTGTACAGGCATATCGCTGACCTGGCGGGCAATGATAAAGTGATTCTTCCTGTGCCAGCTTTTAATGTCATCAATGGGGGAAGCCATGCTGGAAACAAGCTTGCTATGCAGGAGTTTATGCTTTTACCAACAGGTATGTTTTTTTTTTTTAACAACAACTACATGAAGAATTTCAGTGTTNTTTAGCTAACTACAAGTTAATAAATAAATATTACTAAATTTATCCAGGCTACATTTTTATTAACTCTTTGGTAGATTAATTGTGCTAATCACAAGGTGCTTAATATAATTGAGTTTGTTGTTGAAAACTTTTGAGCATTGATTTCTCACCATTAGAAATTACCAAATTCATGATATTAATTCTTCTCATGGATTGCTTCTATAGTATTGGTGCTCTCCCCTGGATGGTATTCTAGTCCATCATACAGTATCTCAGGCTTTCATATCATTTCATAAACCAGTTTGTACTCTTGGGTAAAAAATGGTAATTACTAAAAAATGTTTTGCCCACCAAGAACGTAGCACCATCACCCTAACTCAAGACCTCAATACAGACTTACAAATTTAGTCTAATCTGTTATCTGTCAAGTCTGGATTTATCTGTTGAATGGTTTAACTAGTATTTGTTGTTCTTTTAGGGAGTTCCTCTGTACAGGCATATCGCTGACCTGGCCGGCAATGATAAAGTGATTCTTCCTGTGCCAGCTTTTAATGTCATCAATGGGGGCAGCCATGCTGGAAACAAGCTTGCTATGCAGGAGTTTATGCTTTTACCAACAGGTATGTGTTTATTTTTTACAACAACTACATGAAGAATTTCAGTGTTCAGCTTGAAGTGATGAAGGCACCAAGACAGTATAGATCTCCATTTTATTTTTATACATCTCTTTCATTAACAGATGAATAAAAAGTCTATATTTGAATCTTTGCTATTATTAGGTGCTAGCAGTTTCAGTGAGGCAATGAGAATGGGTGCAGAAGTCTATCAGAATCTAAAAAATGTGGTGAAGAAACAATATGGAATTGATGGTTAGTTCATAAAATACAAGTGTGTGAGATGCATAGACTTAATATTTAGCATTCTGTACTTCTAGATTAGGGGTGGCAAATGGTCCCTCTAGAACCATCAGTCTCATAAATTTTTTTTTGAAAATCACAGGACTTGCAGTCTCAGGTTTTTGGGGGGTTATCTGCATGCTGCGGTCTTGATTTTTTCACAAAGTTGTCTTGGAGTCTCAATATTTTGCAAGGCTAACAGAGCTTCAAACTCCCAATTTTGTTTGTTTGTTTGCAATGTTGTCTGAATGTATTAGAGTTTGAACATTCACACTTGCATTTAAAACACTTTGTTGAAGTCTAGTTTAAAAAGTTAAAATGTCTCAAGCTCGAAAAAAACCCGATAGTCTTGCCTTCTCACAAAGTCGCACATTTACCATTCACCACCCCTTAGATTGAGCGGTCCAGGAATTGAGTCCTAGGTAGAGTCATTGCATTGACACGTTACTCTCATAGTGCTTCTCCCTTTCCTGGTATGCAGTGAATTATGCTGAGTCAGCGGTGGGCAACCCAATCACAAACCCACTTGTTTAATAAATTTAACTAGTTGAAATCAAAAAAATTTTATCATTGACTCTTGAATGGCTGAGTTTAATCTTAGCTATTAGATGAAGTAACATTTTTCAAAAGAACATCGTGACCTGAAAATACATCCACTATAACAATGTTAAATGTGTATGTTGTAGGTCAAAAATATGAAATTCCTTTGTCTCTTAATTAAGCCTAATTATTCATGGATCATAAATAATTAGGGTTAGAAGACAAAGGAAATTGAGAATCAAACTAGGTTAAAATCATTTTAACCTGAATTTCATTTTAACCTGCAACATANGTGACCGTAAGGTGTGTTTCCACTGTAAAAGCTAGCCCGTTGCAATTGTTTTTCTTTTCTCTTCTTTTAGATCAAGACTGGAGCTCCTTGCAGGTCTGAACGTTTGGCCAAATACAACCAACTTCTCAGGTAACATGTACCTCCAATAAATGACAATTTCCTTGTTTTATTTCAGCTATGAAGTACCCGATTTTTCTGAAAAATCTGAACAAAATATTGCAAACAAATGAAATGGATGTATCCTCCCGAAGTTTTTTTTTCCACAAGAGCTGCAAAGCTATTGAAGACATGGTGCGAGCAGGCCTGTAGTGAGAGCAAGCACTGCTTTGATAAATTACCTTAAAACGCCCGAAAATTTTCCTATCGTTATTAACTCCTTCCTGATCAGAACATAGCGCGCGGACTCGGAAGCTTGCAGAAAGCTTTGACGTCGTCTTGTTACTCGCCATCCCCTTTACGAAAACCGCAGGCTCAAAATATCGTTTGAGACTGAAATTAAAAGTTGTTCCTTCTTTTTGACAGAATTGAGGAGGAACTGGGAGCTAGTGCCACATACGCTGGAGGCTCGCTACTTGCTGGAGGGAAGTAAACCGAACAGGTTACAAAGCGTGTTAAACGAGCTAAGCTGGAATGGCTCGCTCAAAAGACTTGACCGTCTTTCTTCAAACCACATCTGAAATTAATAGTGTTTAAAAGTATTAGAAGCATAATAAATGGTAAAATTTAACGATTACGTCAGCTTTGTATGTATTGAGTTAGTTTGGTGACGAAGGGAAGAATCCCCGGTAGAATCGCATTTGCAATGACGGATTGCGGCGCGGGCAAGCGAAGTGTTCAAAATCTCCTATTTTTTTTCTCTCGTCGTGTTTCGCGCTGATCCCCGACAACCCGAAAGCCCGGAACAGTACTCAGCACCGGGAAAGTAGAAAGTACAGGTCTCTGCACTGCTATAGTGCTGGTCGTAGTTTTCACGATTGGTTACCATAGTTACCTAACCCGCAGTAAAGTATGTTGGCTTTTTGTATGGTTTCAAAGTGTTGAAGGAACAAAATAATTCTCACAAAATAATTATGCAGGGTCTGTTTAATTATCTGCGGTATTGTGATTGTTAACTTCCCACTTGCTAAGAATCATCATATCGATGGAGAGCAAATATTTGGAAATAAAAACTTGTCAAACGAAAATCCAAAATGACACAGTGCGGGTATGCTTATCGGATCGGTTCCTTTTGCTTACGGTTCGTTAGCCTGCGAGCAGGCTCACGTTGGAGTACAAACGCGTGCGGCGTAGCCGCGTGCGCGAAATCGAGCGGCGAAGGCGCGAGACGGGGTCGCTTTGCTCTTCGCCTCTTGCGCATGCTCGCAGGCTAACGGTTCCTTGAAAGTCTGTCTATTCTCGGAGCCGGTGGGACCTAGGCACTACTGACTAGTATAGACGCAAGAGACCTTGTATAAAGACGGATTAGCGGCAAAGAAACTAAACTAGCAGAGGAAGAATATTTTAAACTCGTTCGGTCTCCCTTCATCTCCCCTGCTCGTATAGGCAGCCTGGGAACAATAGACTGCGTAACCTCGCCTGTTGTGGTACGTACATGCGTAAAAGCATTCTCCTCAAACAGATCCCTCAAACAGCGCATGTTCAACAGGCTGGCTTAGCAAGACCCTAGCAAGATCGAGAAAGTTCTTGCTCTGTAAGCATTACAAAGCAACATTCGTGTTAAAGAATAATGTTTCGAGGTGGTTTGACTGATTTTGAAGACGACCCGTTCTTCAGGTAAGTATTAAATGATAAAATTGGTCTTTCGAATTAGCAACTGGGCAGTTATAACGTTTTGTTTACATTGAAGTGGTATGAATTTTACAGAAATTATAAACTTAAGCGTAAATTTAATCATACCTTGAGTTTAACCTTGCTATTGTTGGAAAATATAGTGGTTTTATGGATTAAACAAAAACATGAGCGACAGCAGAACGGTTAACCAGTCAATACAATGATATACATCACTGATGCCAACATGTGTTTTCAATGTGAAAACAGCAATTGAAACTTGTGTTCATGTACCGCAACAATCGAACCTTCTTGAGGAAATCCCTCATTCACAGCTTGTGCTGCATACAGGCTTGGCGTAGTTGTGTTTTTAGTTCTGATGCGTAGAAAGAACCGTTTCCCTCATCAAGCAATCAGCTTCCCCACACCTCGTTACTTGTGTGTTATTTAAATTTGTAATTGTAATTGTATTGAGCTGAAAAACCCTCTTAGGGAGCATCAATCAAGTTTGTATGTATGTATTTCACTATTCATGTTTTATATATATATATATATATATATATATATATATATATATATATATATAT